AATTAATGGTAAAAAGTGCAAAATAAGTTACAAAACCTTATTAAAAACATAAAATTATTATTTTTAATTAACTTTAATGATTTTATTTATATTTTATTAATTTTAATTAATATTTATATTTTTTCAGAAAATAAATAACAAAAAAAATAAAACTACTCACAACATTAAACTGTTAGACAAACTTTAATTTGTAGTATTTGAAACTTTGAAAAAAAAAAAAGGATAAAAAGAGTAAGAATTCACAATTAAAGAAGGTTAAATGCGGTCCCCAAACTTTCAATTTTGAACACATTTAGTCCCACAACTTTTTTTGCACTTTTCATCCTTCAACTTTAAAAATTACACTTTTTTATCCCTTCATTAGTTTAGTGCATTAAATGCAACCACGTGGCATTTTTTTTTAATTTCTTTAATGATTTGGTAATTACATGTAACAAAAGATGCTTACCTAGGCATAAAATTAATCCATGTAGGATTTTTGCTCACTTAATTGTTGCTGAAAAAAGTTTTTCAAGGTTAGGGTGAGCCCCACATGATCTATCTGCTTAAAAGGAAGAAATTCTCAAATGTTCTAAAAACCTAGAATAAGTCTCTCTCCTTTCTCCCCTTTCTTCCCCTTCCTTCCCCTTTTTTCTTCTTCTAGCATAGGTTTGAAAGGACCCTATAGCTTGGCTCGTTCTAACCCAATAGAGTGCTAGGTTCATTCAAACCCAATAGCTAGGTTGGATTGAACCTAGCACTTGCAAGATCATCGACAGAACAAAGCACTTCATCTAATTCAACAAGAATTTCTACAACATAGTAATCAAAATCAATGGTAAAGTAGGATATAATTCATTCAAGTATCGATTATCAAATTTAGGCCTCAACATCAACGTGAATCTATTCTTGAATCTCAAGAACAAACACATTTCGATCACCTATGGACTAGATTACATAAGTCCAATCAAATCTAGACAACGAGATCTTTCTTATATTATAAAAATTGACTATAAACCCTAAATAAAGAAATTGAACTACAAGGGAAAAAAAAATGAAGAACTAATTTTGAGAATGGAAAAAGACCTTCCCAAATCAAGGATTTTTCTACTCTTTTTATTCAAAATTAATCCCATATGATTTGGGTTCACATGAACATAGTGCTGTGCCTTGAACACCTTTTCTTCAAAGACCCAATACTTCTAATCTCAACCACAAATTGCCAGAGAAGCAACCCATATTATCTTCCCTTCAGTTTGGCTTTTTGTAAACCAAATCTCACTTTTGATTCTAATGACACCCCAGCTCCTAGGCAGGCATCAAGTGCTGAGTTTGAGTGAACTATCGAGCAATCTATGTAGAGAAAGATCCTGTATGTTAAAGATGCCCATGTAGGATTCTTAACATTACAATCAAAACACATCTAATAAACCAAAAAAAAAAAAAAAAAAAAAAAAAACTAAAGGGGCATATGGAGG